TGCGTTTGTGATGGTGCATAGGCTCCAGCAGCCATCGTACGTTGAATTTTCGAGTTGTTCCCGCGCGCTAACGACGACTAGCACGTATGGTCGCGCGTCAGCAGACTCTCGATCGTTTCAGCTTTGTCATCAAACAATCAAATCAGCAGACACTTTTTTGGGCCTTAGCTGATGCTGATGCTGATTGAGACTCGCTCGTCGCGCGTGACGCGTTGCGCCTCGGATGTAACTCAGGGCTCTCCGATGAACTCCACTGCACCAAGACACAAGTCCATCTGCTTCGAGTCATCATGCCACAACGGTCTTTGCCTCGCATTTCCGTCTCCAGACAATGGCCGTGGACCGAGCAACCATTCAATGCCGGTCACACGCGCATCAGCGCTCTGTCGACTTTATTGACCCGCATTCCATTGTGATTGCTTCTGAAAGACTCGATACTCGTCATCCTCACTCCGTTCCAGGATCCTTGAATCTGCGTAGAGCACGCTCCCGTGCCCACTTGTGCTCGACGATGGGTTCAGGATAGCCAAGCTTCTTGAACTCTTCCTTGCCCAGCCTGGTAAAGGGTTCATGAATAGCCTTGCCCTTGACGTTTCTCAGTTCGGGCACCCAATGCCTGATATACTCGCCGTCCGGATCAGACTTTTCCGATTGGGATGTGGGAGCAAAGATGCGAAAGTAGGGTTGGGGATCGGTGCCGAGCGAGGCGCTCCATTGCCAACCACTTTAGGGTCGTCCCAAAGAATCATTGTCAGCATCTGGAAAGTCAACATCACGTATAGATCCAACACTTACCCGCTGGCGAATGAAATTTTGTAAGTTGGGGTCAAGAGATAAGTTGGTCAGTACCTGGAATTTGGAGCGCTACGCACAGAGCCATACTTACTTGCTTGAGTTTTTGGAATGAATGTTTGGACACGGAGAGACATTGTCAACCACGTGTCTGGAGCGTTTTCAATCACAGAAAAACCATACGTACTTGCTCGCTAGATCTCCATCAATAAAGGAGCGCATGAACCATTGCTCTCCCATGCGCCAATCCAACATGAGATGCTTCGTCAGAAACATGGCCACGATCATTCTGCCACGATTGTGCATCTGTGGGAAGCAATACCGAGCAGCAACCAGTCTTCAGCCACGTTGCATCGCTGGCTTGGTGTGTGTCGCAGTGCACAGCAAGTAAAGGCATCGCACCAGCACTCACATATCCTTGTTTAGCACCTTGTCTGACTGCCGCATCCACGATGGGGTATCCAGTCTTGCCCTCTTTCCAAGCCTGAAAATGCTCGTCGTTGTATTCCCACTTGACATTCTCGTACTTTCGAAGGTACGCACGGCTCATGCACACTCTAGGCCAAGCGCTGAGGACGTGACCGTAAAAGTCTCTGAAGGAGATTTCGGTGGCCCACATGGCCGGACCAGAATCTCTTCCCACTTGCAACTTGCCGCCCGTGGTCTCTTTGAGGGCTCGCAAGCATTCGCGAGCAGAGATGAGCCCAGCCGAGAGGTAGGGAGATAATCGAGACGTTCCGTGCTCGGACATGAGATTGCGTGCTGATCCGTACTGCGCAATCTTGGACGCCTTGTCCTGCGATCCCACTTGCTTGCCTTTCGCTTCTGCAGCTGCTGGTTCCGGGTTCACCTCTCCCCCTTTGCTGTTCAGAAAGAGCTGCAGCACTCGACGCGCAGACTCTGTGCCCGCCGGCCACAGCTTCTCCATGTATTCCCGATCCACACACTCGAATCCCTTGACCGAGCTGGGTACCTTTGCATCGAACAACTTTCTCAACTTTTCGTCCTTGCGCGCAGTTGGATCGTTCTTCGAAGGCTTTTCCGAAGGCTCGAGCAGATCAGGGTTTTGCCGCAGATGCTCCGTCCACTTTTTGTTCCAGGGCGAAAAGACGCCGTACGGCCTGCCATCGTTCGTTTTGACGCTGCCGGGCGGAACGACGTACACGTCTTCCAAGCATTCAGCGTGCACACCGTATTCGTGCGCTCCCGACACAGCGCTCGATTTCTGCCACAGCTCGTCCACCTCGTGCTCGATATTGGCAAACAAATCCGACGCTTGCCACTCCTTGCATTTTTGGAGCACACGCTGCGATACCGACTTGCGATCGTCGATGCTTTCGATTGCGAGCGGAATGCTGAGCTCTGCCAGCTCTTTTTGTAAGATGCGGAGTGTTCGAAGGACAAAGTCGATGCGGCGAGAGCTTCGATCGTGAGCGGCATAGTCGCCGGGCGAGAGGACGAAGAGGACGATGAGATGCTTGCCATTCTGCTTTGCTCGTTGACTCGCAGCTTCCAAAGCTCTGCTGTCCTCGATTCTCAGATCCCTCATTCCCATCCAATGCACCACGTTGCCCTTCGCATGATCTTTCGGCCTGCTGCCTTGCTCCTTCAGCGCTCGAGTCAGCGTCTCGCGCGGCGTCACCTCTTCGGGCAAAGAGTGCC